GATAAGCAATCAGCTCCGTTGTCTTTGCACTTACGTCCCTCAGCTGGTCTCACGACCCCCCTCCCCCTCTCTCTTCCCGATTTATTGCTCCGTCGCGGTTTCCTTCCCTCCCTCCGCTCGTCGCGACTTTCTCGATCGCGGTCGCGGCTTATCACGCGTCGCTCATCGCAATCGCAATGGCGCCTTCCGCCAGGGTGATAGCTTCACGAGAGCTCCATCCGCCGCGCGGATTAGCAAGATCCAGTTCGGGGAGAACGACATGGTCGCGTGTCGTAAATAACTTCCGCCAGGAGCGTAGACAGAGACGCTGAAAAATGCGGCGCGCCTTTCGCCGTGTTTGCGGTAACGTCTATAGTAGCGGGGCACCGATCGAGCTTCGAGTTTTCGTCCCGACGCGCTGTGCGATGGTGGCCCAATTTCGCCGCTTCTACGGTCTATTTCGTGACAACCGCATTGTGTCGCGCGCGCATACGCGCCAATCGTGCGCCTCGGGATTCCGGCTCGGTCTCTGTCCGGAGTCTCGTCTCGCCGATTGTTACTCCGTATGCGCGCTGATACACATACATCGGATCCGACGATGACGCGGGCTAATGTTCGCCATTTCCGCGGAAACGGGAAGCTTCGTCTCACCTCGCCTCGCCTCGTGCAGCCGAAAGCAGCACCCACTGCAAACGACGCGGCTTCGCGGCGGTGTTACAGCAGCTTTTTCGCAGCATAATATGGCGCGCGACTCGCCCGTGACCGTGCACGCGATTGTTGGCCGTTCGACGGCCGTCGAGCGTGTCTAGCAGGGTCCTCCGGAACGAGAGAATCCCGCGCCGCGCCGGGGTAAATTAAATTTTCAGGGGCGCCGCTCGGCCCCGGCGCAGCCGATCGCCGGGATCTCACGACAAATATTGGAAAAGCCCGAAGAAGCTTACGACGTTCTCCATCGTTGGCAACTAGAGACTGGAGACTGAAAATTTCGTCGCCCACTACGACGTCCCATCGCTGGAAAGCGAGAGAGAGAAAGAGAGAGAGAGGGGGGGCGGGCAAACATTGTTCGAGATTGCTATAACGCTGTGTGCACCCACACACACACATATATACATATATACATGAGGACGAATGAAATAAAACATGGCTGCGTAATTGCGCGTCAGAGTTTAATTTATTTATTTCATCATCGGTGCGCCTATCGATCCTTGTGGCCGCAGCCGTAAAACGTCGCAAAGGTTGCGACGAGCGAGAAAAGAGAGATCCGATATGATAAAACTGGGCTTCGGCCGAGCGTATCGCGCTGAAAAATGGAATTATACGCACGCTGAAACGCGCTGCGAGCGACCGCAAACAGCTGCGCCGATCGGACGCAATTGTTTCGACGCGACAACCCTTATCTATCATAGCGCCGTGGTACGTTACACGCCACGGTGGAATACTCGAAAAGCGCCGTGTCGGATTACCGCGCGATCGCTGTAGATATTTCCTTCGGATTAATCCCAGTTGCATTCGGCCCGGCTGATCTGCACGCCGCGCCGAACCGTGTTGTATTCGCGCATCTCTCCCCTCGCAACCAATAACGCCGCTCGACAAAACGAGAAAGCGGCGCGATAACGTATTAATTGTGCGTGTAATCATTCCGATAAGTGCCTCGCCGCCGGCCGGCCGAGCCGAGCCGAGCCGAGCCTCTTACATCGCCTCGATAAAATTCATCAATTCGCCCGGATGAGCTTTCGAGAATCCAATTTGCGGCGGCGTTGCACGCCGTTCGTAGACGAACGAGGGCTCGCGGTAATCCGGCGATGAAAGCGAATTTTCGTTCTCGCGACGGGCTGCCGAAAAATTCTAATAAACCAACAGTCACTCACCATTCTTGGCCGCTCGCCAGCTGGCTTGAAGGCTCGACCTTGCGGGTCGACAGACAGACGTGGCCGATTAAAATCAGAATTTAACGTCGGGAAAGGTCCAACATAACGTATCGAAGGTTCGCAAGCCTCCTTTTTTTTTATCGCGTCTAAAAATTTCTCCCTGTCGGAACGTAATCGACAGGTAGTGGTTGTTCACGCGGCGCGACAGTCGCGGGAGCGTCCGTCGAGCAGGAGGAATTTTATCCGCGCGCGCGTCTTCGATCCTCGCGTGGAACTTTCACGAACATATTTGCGCGGCGCCGCGATGGGACACTTAAAAGCGGTAATGTCGTATCAGCTGCGTCTCGGCTGCGGCGGACGTTTCCCCGCGCCGTCTCTCCGTTATGCAACGTTATCGCGGGTGATACGCGCGGAGCCTGCCTGCGCGCGGCGCGACGCACACAGCGACACGCGTGCGCGCGCTCCCTTTCGTGCGTCGTTGTGACGCGTGTGTGACGGGTGAAAGGGAAAGAAAAGAAGAGAAAAAGAATTCGAGCGCACAGAGCCATTAGGAGGGAGGCACGCCGCGCAAATGTACAATGTAACGTCGTTAATACACGGCTCACGCTATTCACGAGCCGACCGGGCCGCCGCCATCGCGCCCGGCTCGGCGCACTCGTCGAATAATATTTGAAGCGCGAATAAAGTCGGCGCGCGCCTGTCATAAATATTAAACGCGGCCCATCGATCGCGTTATTGCGACGTGAATCTTCGCGGAGTAATGTCTGCGTCGTGCAACACGTCGCTCGCGACGATGTAGATATCGGCTTGGCTCGGCTCGGCTCTCGCTCGCCGAGCGACTAGCGCCGTCGCGCGTTTCCGGGGGTGAATTTATGGTCACCCTATACATCTCGTTGCACACGTGCAACGCGCGGCGATGCGTTTTGAATTCAAAGCGGCGCGGCGAATCGATCGGCGGCGGGACGGAAAGAAAGAATGGCTCCTGCTGCCGGGAGTAACGCCGGCTCGTTCGAGAGGACGGATCGGCGATTATTTATCCGGATAAACAAGTCGTCCGAAAGCGATTACCGTGGCGCAACTACGGCCAATTGACGCGAGCGCGCAGCAGTCGATCGTCCGCGTCCATTTGCACGGAGCGACGTCATTATCGGTGGTGGCACGGCGCTGCACAACACGGAGTTGTGGTGCAGATAAGACCTTAGGTCGCGCTCCGGGCAGTAAATCCGTCGCTGCCGGATCTAATGACCGACTCGGCTGAGAGGAGGGCTCGTCCTGGCGAATATTCTCCGTCCGTGGAAGCATCCTTCCTCAAAACGCGAACGCGATCGTCGCTGATGGCACGGCGTAAACATCGTGATTGGATAACGAGCGGGGGAGTGTTGCACTGGTCGACTTTGCGGCTGGCAATTTTCGATTCAACACGATTTACCGAATCGATCGGAGCGACAGGCAGAGGGACAGGACAGGCTTGGGCGCGCTTGGAGTTACTCGAACGAGACGGTGCACGATGCCAGCGTTCTTCTTCCGTTCGAAGGATAACGGCGGATCGGCGGATTAGCGTGCGTCGGAAACAAATGGCCCTTTCATCGACGAGTGCGGCGGGGGTGGGTGCGAGCAGCAGCGACAGCAAACTCGCGTGCGGCTGCACGTGTGACCGAGAGTTGCGGGCGGGGGCGACTGAGGGAGGGATTGTTCTAACAGGTACACACATAACGAGGGATCTCTGCGCGTGACGTATTATATAACTCGCGCGCGCGTGATGCGAAATTCAGCCGCGTTATTCGGCCATATTACAGTCGCCTGCGTGTGTTATCCGGCCTCTCATCCTCCCTCTCTTTCTCTCTCTCTCTCTCTCTCTCTCTCTCTCTCTCTCTCTCTCTCTCGTCGTCGGCCAGGACGACCGTACGGCGCAGACATATCCCGTATGCAATATGCATAACGCAGTCTATGTATGACGTATTTCATGAGGACGAACGAAAAGCGCGATATTTTGGACGACGGCGCGATCGAAGCGTGCGACCCCAAAAGCGTTTTTACAATCTACGAGAATAAAGCCCGGGTTCCTGTGTAACACGACATATACACGGTATTTTCGCCGGTCCGCGCTAGGACAATCTCTCTCTCTCTCTCTCTCTCTCTCTCTCTCTCTCTCCGGCGGGGAGTACCGCCGCGCGTTCTTTCTACGATTAGCCGCCGCTCGCGACCGGCGCGAGAGAGAGAGAGAGAGAGAGAGAGAGAGAGAGAGAGAGAGAGAGAGAGAAATGGGGTGAATTTCGCCGGGGCGGGAAGGAGGGTCTGATTGGACAAATGATCTCAAAGGAGATTCCGCCGCGCTCCTTGCCGGAGCCGCGCGCGCGGAACTGCGCCGAGCGAGGGAACGGAGTCGACGATAAATCATCCCGGAAATTGCGATCCGCGCGATAGAGGCGCAAAACGCTCGCGGACGAGGAGAAAAAAGAAAGTTCCTTTGTACCCCGGCCCAAACTACATCTAGCGAAGCTTGGCGCGCGCTTCTTGCGCGGTTCGCGTTACACCGGGTACTCCGGTAGTCCCGGGGGGGAGGAGGGCGCGCAAAAAGTCGCGTGTACGAGCGACATGCTGGCTCTGTCGGCCGCCGGCGCCGCTACTATTACTTGATTAACGAAGAACCAGGCGACGCACAGCGAGATACGTCTAGCTTGGCGGAAAGCCGAGGGAAACGTCCAGAGAGACGTTTGCAGCAATACGATTAGCGCGAACGATAACACCGTGCGAGCAATACACATCGTCATCGGCGTCTCCATATGCGAATTTTCTTCGCAACGATCTGTGTGACGTTTTCAGTGCGTGCGTGTGTGTGTCGTCGTGCGTTACACTCGTCTCTCACCACGGAGACCACAGATTAGCACTCGTAGACGTCGTCGTAGTCGTCGGGTGCGACCGAGTGACTACATGAGAATGTGCCGAGTGTGTCTTTGGTGATTCTGATCGCTCGTTTCTCTCTCGTCTTCTGTCGAACTCCCTCCCTAATTATCATCCCGACCTCACCATCTCTATCTCTATCTCACCCGCATGCTCTCTCTTTCTCCCGTGCCGATTCGCTTCTGCATTGCTAGTTCCATCGACAGTGGTTACCGAGCGATAATTACCGCGGCTGACTGTCTTCCTCCACAGGATTTAACGTACGGGGAGGGCGGCCACAATTGGCGGAGTATAGTTTTCTCGCTGCTGGTCATCGGCTTCGTTATCGCCGGCATCGTCACGGCCATTTATCTCCTCGGGTGAGTCTAGCGCGCGATATTTGCCTGCGCTCTCCTATTCCATTCCCTCTCATCCCACTCCCTGGTTATCCTCGCGATATTCCCTGCCGGTAACGCCTGCGTTCGCCGGCACCCTCGCCGGCGCGCTAAGACGATGGCGCGCGGTAATGGTCGGGGCATGCTATCGAGTTACAAAGTTACTACAGAGCGCCGGATGAAGGTCGTCGGCGCGGCGGCTGCCGCTTAACGGCAACCAAACGCGCGCGCCGCTAATTATATACATGACGACGAAATTACAGGTACGTCGACGAGCTGCTGTACTGGAGCGGCAGGCGTCTTACGTTGGACGAGTGCCTTCGTGATGACCTGACACCGCACAGGTTACCACCGACCTGGATCACCCACGAGAAGTTCGTCTACCAAGCCGACGACGGTTCCCTCACCCTCCTGGACACCAGCAACAATATTGTGTCCCTCTTAGTCTCTAATCATACGCTTGTACGTATATACACATACGCGTAAACAAACGCATATATACATACACACACACACACATATATAATATGTGTATATTTGTGTACTCAAATCGTATAGCGATAAACTTGCTGATGACACTCGCGCTACAACGATCAATTCCCTCTCTCTCTCTCTCTCTCTCTGTCTGTCTGTCTGTCTGTCTGTCTGTCTGTCTGTCTGTCTGTCTGTCTGTCTGTCTCTCTGTCTGTCTCTCTCTCCCCGCTCGTAAGTTCATCCTCGACGGATGTTATGAAGAGAGCCACCGCGTCCGTTAATTGAAAAATTCTCTGTTATTCGACGGAGATTTATGAAAGCGAAAGAGATAAATAGATGGCCGAAAATCCGATACGAGGCATTGATTGGCAGTATCGCGAGCGACGGTAAATAAAGAATTAATTAGACGCACAGACACCCGCGTATCGGTCGTAAAGAGCGCTTGACTAACGAGCGATCGACTAATTACGGGCTGCTTGCAATTGAATGAATGTCTCTGCGAAAATGACTGCGCGCGATCGGCGCGCGCGCGATTAATTACGCCGGAGGTCCGCTTCTAAATTACGCAACGATCGAAACTCCGGGGAGACACACGACGTAGGAGATAAGGCGCTACTCGGCCGTGTAACTAACTCCACCACGACGACTGTGGCCTGCGTAAATCCGAGGATCGCGAATAATTTGGAAGCTCAGATCCAAACGCGCGCCGTATAATCCGCGATCGGGCGTTATTAATAGAAGAACGTTATTCCGCGAGGGTATAGCGCCGAGCGAGCGAGGAGGAGGAGGAGGAGGAGGAGGAGGAGGAGAAATAGAGACTTGCTCGGAATGAATTTCGACATTAAATCGGTCCGTGTTACGCTGAACAAACTAATCGACGATAATTCGGATTCGAGTCTCGTGCCAAATAAAGTCGCACGGTCGGCGCGTCGCGAATGGAAATGCCGCGGGTTAACGAAGTTGCCGAATTTTTCGTACGGGCCACGGCGAACACCGACAAATCCGTTCACCGGCCGATAATCTCCGGCGAATTCGGGGCCGAATTGCGGTCGAGCGGGAAGAAGAGAGATCGATTATTTCCGTCAGATTTCTCTCGACGGATCCCGCCTAAATCACCCTGACCACCACCGACTCGGGATATCCGTATTAGCGAGATGCGCCGGGGTATCTTAGGTCTTCCACGCGCGCTGCCTAATCTTCCGGGGGATGGGAGGGAGGCGCCAAGCTATTGTCACACTCATCTACGGTTAATTGGCTGCGCGTACTGAACTCCCCGCGCTCGCCGGATAATTACGCGCTAATCGTCGGCGCGCAAATATATTCCCGCGGCGTGCCGGCCTCGCGCCTGACTGACTACGCGAGCACATCCCCATGGCGTATCGTGTATTTACCCTGTAGAGCCGCAAATATATATATATATATATACGAGGGTAGTCTGAAAAGTTCTCGGCCTGACAATGAAAGAAATTTTTTTGGCGTGAAATATGTTTTATTTTTCAATATAATCTCTTAAAACTTCAATGCATTTATTCCAACGTTTTTTCCAATAATTCAATACCATCATTAAAGTGTGATTCCGGAAGATTCTTTTCGTTCTGATGTATAGTGGTGGATCCGAGTTTTATCAACAGTTATGAAACAACGCTTGAAATCCATTTTATTTTGCTTAAAACGATCCAAACACGCTTGAGAAATACGCATTCGAATGCGTATCTTGGTCAATTGTTAGCAAATGCGGCACCCATCTTGCACAAAGCTTTTTCAACTGGTGCTACTACTCGAATGATTTGACAGATCGAATAAAATTTTACATGGGTTTATATCAGGGATGCCACTTTCCAATACAATTATAGTTTGACAGTTTCTAATGCCATGTATGTGTTAAGTCGAGAACTTTTCAGACTGCCTATGTATATTGTACAATATATATCCATATATATATCCGGGAAGAAATGAGCTACCGTATAAATATATGCACACCGCCAGGACGTATTAATTTTGACTTCTCGGCCGCGAATTCTCCCTCCAGAGAGGGTAAGTTTGATCAAGGGTACAAGAAGACTTGTATCTTGGCGTGAAATATCGCTCTTTCGACTCGCGGCCAAGCTGCGCCGAGGCTGCTCCTCTCCCTTCTTCGAGCACATCGCGGCGTGTTCCCGGTGGATTCCTAATTGAAACGAATCGTCGGCGCTCCGAGCGCGGCGTTTCCACGCGCATTTACACGGTGAACATTTCGACAGACGATAGAGAATACACGACGGAGACGGACGGGGAGGGATCTCGGCCTTTTGCCGATCGCCGGATTGCGGCGCGTCATGAAACAAAGACGCCTCGTGCTGCATATAAAACGGATTCCGAGACATTCCAAGGTTTACCCGTGACAGGAGGCGAGCAGGGGGAGGGGATAAATCGGGGTTATCCTACATACCGCAGCATTGCACTTTACGCTCGATCGGGCACTATCGAGCGTGTTTCCCGAGGCGCTTTGATGACGACGGATAATCAATCCGTCGGAGCGGAAAGAAGCGACGATTGAACGACCGCGATGACAACAATCATCGTCCCTCCACTATTTTTTTAATTTTATTCAATCCGTGAACGAGCGTGGCGTGAACATCTGTTATTCGCGGAGATGGAAGCGGAACACGCGTGACGACCTACCCTACCCCCCACGCTCCTGAGGAGACTCCGTATACGCGGGGAGGAGAAAGAAAGAGACGACGAGGAATGAAAGCAGCTTATAAAGAGACAGAGAGAGAGAGAGAGAGAGAGAGAGACAGAGAGAGAGAGAGAGAGAGAGAGAGAGAGAGAGAGAGAGAGAGAGAGAGAGAGACAGAGAGAGAGAGAGAGATTGATTTCGACAGTAGTAGCGCGATAAGTGTGCGTGCGCAAGAGATCCGGTTCGCTCGGTCTGGACGAGTTCCAAATCCGCGTCCTTTTTCCCTCCCGTGCCGGCGGACCGGTGTATGGACGAGCGTATACGGTGCATTGATCCGACCTGGCGTCCACCAGGATACGTCACTCGCCCGCGTCTCGCCGCTCTTTCGGACACGAGTATCGACTGCCGCTCGCGTAATGTCTACACGCGACGGTATTATCGACGAGCTACTCTTTCTCGAGAAGAAGAGAGAGGGAGAGAAAGTACGCGGATATTCGCCAAAGAACGCCGCGACGCGCTATTACAGACGGGATCGCGACGACGGAGCGTGGCAGTGATACATATCAGGCACCTCCGCTCAACCGTCTCGTAATTTAGCAGTCGACGCTATTAAAAGTTTCTCACGCCGATGCGTCCCTCGTTATCGCGGAAGCGAGCTCCGGACGCGAAGATCGCGAAGGGGATATGAAATAAAAGATAAACGCGCGCGCACGAGGTGAAACTGGCGCAGCGACGCGATCGGCTTTCAAATTAGATCGGCAACGAGCGCCGAGAGAGAGAGAGAGGGGGAGAGAGAGCGAGAGTGAGAGAGAGAGAGAGAGAGAGAGAGAGAGAGAGAGAGAGAGAGAGAGAGAGAGAGAGAGAGAGAGAGAGAGAGAGAGAGAGAGAGAGAGAGAGCGAGAGACGAGCGAGTCGGTGAGGGGAGGGGAGTTAACGCAATTTTCATCGGACCTTCTTTTCCAGAGGCAACTGAACGTTCACGGCTACGAGTGCAGCGCCGACCTGCGTTATGTACTGTTCAGGCACAATGTCAAGCCGGTAAGTAGCTTCGGAAGAGCGGAGCCTCGCGGGGAAATTTCTGATGCGGCAGCTGCATCCCTAACTTTCTGATCTGTGCCGGCTTATCGATGGTGTCCCGGCATGTGATAGGACACGGGGCGCAATTTTATTGCAGTTAGGACTCGATTATCCCCATGAAAAACGCATCTACTTCTTCCTTCTCCGCTCCCTCCTCACCCACCCCCTGCGGTTCTACGCTTTGCATCATTCTGTGTGCTCTTCGTATAGTAATCCGTATTCCCTACGATATATAAACGCGTCGTCTTTGCAGGTCTTTCGGAACACCTTCACCGCTCATTACACCGTCTACGATGTCACAAACGAGTAAGTTTCTTCGCGTTAAATACAGCCTTGCTGAGTCGTATTCTACGTGACATGAGAGGACGTGATGCAATTAAGTGAGAGAAGTAAAGAGAGAAAAAGATATGTCGAGACACACGACTGATATTACGCGCGTATGCTCGTCTGTGTGATTATTCTAACGGCCACGTCTTTGTCATTCCAAATCCGGCAGTCACCACACACCCCTTCGCCTGCAAGCGACGCGACGTATGCAGCAGACGCGAATGCAACACGCTATGTGGCTGGGCAACACGTCCAGCCTCCTGATGATCTCTGAGAACGACATTTATCTGAGGATGGCGCCCGCCTTGATGGAGGACATCCGGCTGACCGACACGGGCGTGCCCGGGGTGATTTACAACGGCGTGCCCGACTGGCTGTACCAGGAGGAGGTGCTGCCGCAACCGCAAGCGACGTGGCCAAGCCCGGACGGCACACATATCCTTTACGCCACGTTCAACGACAGCCGAGTGAGCGCGTTGCAGTTTCCGTGGTTCGGCACGCAACCGGGTCAAGACGGCGTCAGCTCGAGTCCCCTGGGCGCGTCCAGGAGAGGCTCCTTCCCGCCTTCCAGGTCGGTCAGATACCCGACGCCGGGCTCGCCGAACCCGGAGGTCGAGCTGTGGCTCATGGAGCTCGGCAACTTCAGCGCGATGAGCCACAACGGCACCGGGAACGTCACGTGGCCGAGCAAAATGAAGCTGAAGCCGCCGCCGTCCTTGGACGGACAGTACGTCAAGTTGTCGAAGACTTCTCGATTAGCCTAACCACTCAATAAGTAACTGAATTTTCCCCTCGATTTTCATACACAGTTACTCTCGTTAGCGGGCGATTTTTTGCGAAAAGAAAACAAAGAAAGGGAGAGAGAAAGAGAGCTGAGAGAGAGAGAGAGAGAGAGAGAGAGAGAGAGAGAGAGAGAGAGAGAGAGAGAGAGAGAGAGAGAGAGAGAGAGAGAGAGAGAGAGAGAGAAAAAGAGAGAAAGAGAAATGCGAGTGTGCGTCGGTTATTCTCGCCCGTAGCCGCATCGCGTAGCGTCGTAGTGACCCCGCAAAATCCTCGCGAATCTTTTCAGAGATTACTATCTGACATCGGCCGGCTGGGTCGGCGAGGACGCGTCGCAGATCGCGGTCGTCTGGATGACGAGGATGCAGAATCTGTCGGTGGTGTCGGCCTGCCGCGGTCCCACGTGGGAGTGCGAAGAGACCCACTCGGAGAGGGCGCCCGAAGGACTGTGGCTGGACGCCCAGCCGCATCCTCTCTTCGCTCCGGACGGTGACAGCTTCCTGTTGCTGGCGACGGTGCAGGAAGGTGACAAGGAGCATTTCACGCATATAAAACACGTCACGCTCACTCAGCAGAGAATAGCGGTGCTCTCTCATGGCCGCTACGAGGTGAGCGACATTTTTAGGCCGGAAGCGCCGGGAAATGTGTACGTATACGGGAGACACGAATGATCACAGAGGCGACTGCACGCTTCATTCTGGTCCAGAGATGGACCGCAGTGTTCTTTCCGGCCACGCGATCAGTTGCGAGAGAGAGAGAGAGAGAGAGAGAGAGAGAGAGAGAGAGAGAGAGAGAGAGAGAGAGAGAGAGAGACGATCGTGGGTCACCCCACGGTCGCGGAATCAACGCGAATAATTCGCGCGTTGGGTGCGTCGGTCAATTTGAGGCTTGACGACGAATGGAATCGCTACTATAAAGACGAGTCTTTTTTCCTTTTTTCCGGTGAAAGCCACCGGAAAGATGGAAAACAAGGTTGCAGCAAGCGGTGGAAAATATTTTGATTGGGATAATTTAAGCAACAAATAATAAACAATCCATTCTCGTGGTCAGCTCTCCAAATGAACCGAAGCATCCTAGTATTACTCGCACCGCGATTCCGCGACTGGGGCTCGATAATTCGGCAATATCGCAACGCAATCTCTCGTAAACGACAGGTAAGCGAGATCCTGGCGTGGGACACCAAGGCGCATCTCGTGTATTACCTGGGTACCCGAGAGAGAAGGCCCGGCCAGAGACACCTGTACATAGTGCGCGATCCCGCCGCGGACGATCCTCGTCACTTCGAGCCGTTGTGCGTGACGTGCGACCTCGGCGATGTTCTTTGGAGCAGCAGGCAAGTGTCACTCATTCGTCATCAGCGATGTGCATGACGCGTATAGCTCACACATGTGCGCGGGGAAACCCCACAGGTTCTACTACACCAATTGCACGCACTTTGGCGCATCCGTCAGCCCGCCGGTGAACGACGACACCCAGGGTTACTATGTGCTGCACTGCGAGGGTCCCGGCCTCCCTCTCGCCGCCGTGCACATGATGTCGTCGCACAAGATGCTGCGCGTGCTGTACGACACGAGGATCCAACGCGCGGACAAGCTCTCGGAATTGGCACTGCCTACCAGACGGAACTTCGAGGTTAGTCGCCAAGTCGTTTGGGACCTTTCGACGGGTCTCTCCGGCGTCGGATCTGTCGCGTCGATGATACACACACACACACACACACACGATATATATCCCGGGTGGTCGACAGGTGCCGTTACCCCAAGGCTGGCGGGCGCAGGTACAGCTGCTGCTGCCTCCCTCGTGGCGGGAGGAGCTCAGGGACGCGGCGTTTCCGGTGCTCGTCGAGGTGAACGGTCGTCCGGGCAGCGAGGCGGTCACGGACAAGTTTCGGATAGACTGGGGAACTTACATGTCCAGCCACAACGACGTGGTCTACGTGAGACTGGACGTGCGGGGCGCCCGGGGCCAGGGGAAGAAGGACCTGTTCAGGAGGATAGGCGGCGTCGAGGTGCAGGATCAGCTTACGGTGCTGAGGCACCTGCTAAAGACGCTCAAGTACCTCGACGTTACCAGGGTCGGCGTCTGGGGGTGGGGCTACGGCGGATACGTGACCGCCATGGTCCTCGGCAGCCAGGAGAACGTTTTCAAGTGCGGCGTCGCGGTCAACCCGATCGCCGACTGGATGTACTACAGTACGTGAGCGTAGCTTGCATTCGAAATCGCGCGCGCGCATGCACACACACTTGTCGTTCTCGCGAATTTCACGACGAAATCTCCCCTCGTGCCCCCCGCAGATTCCGCGTTTACGGAACGAGTTCTCGGCGCCCCGGCTGAGAACTACAAGGGTTACGTGGAGGCCGACCTCACGCAACGGGCGAGATTGGTGCCCAGTCACAGCCTTTACCTTCTTCACGGTCTAGCCGACCTCACAGCGCCTTATACGCACGGCGTTGCCTTCGCCAAGGCTCTGTCCGAAGCGGGAGTCATCTTTAGATACCAGGTGAGAGGGAATGATGAGAGAGAGTCATGAGAGCGTGACGGCTGGATGCTGGCGTGTGTTTCGCGCCTGTAATAACCGCTTCCTTCTCCTTTGGAAACAGAGTTACGCGGACGAAGATCACGCCCTGGCGGGTGTGCTCGAACACGCTTATCGTTCCATGGAGGACTTCCTCGCCGAGTGCCTCGCCTTGGATGCCTCCTAGTGCCTCAAGCCGAAAAATCCTTTGTTGTCTCTAGTGCGCCTATTTCCGACACATCCAAAACGGACGTCAATACGGGGATTCGTCCTCGAGATCACGGCAATTACTACTCGCGGAGCAAGCGGAATGAGAGCCTGAATCGCCAAGTGGTTCGGCTCGCTGGCGCAGGATGAGGAGATCCTTCGCGAAGAACGTCGGAGGAAGACGCGACGGATCGCCCTCCGGCGATTTTTTTTTACGCCTGCGTTGTCGGACTACGTGCCTCTCGCGCCATTTCGACACGTCGATAGCCCCGTAATCCGTCGAATAACGCGCGAGCGATAGGTTCGACGATGACATGCGATGGCAAATGTGTACAGCAGCGAACAGGTACGAGAGAGAGAGAGAGAGAGAGAGAGAGAGAGAGAGAAGAAGGGAAGAGAGAAAGAGACAAACGCGCGTGCTTGCCGTGAAATCGATCTTGGACGAATCTCGAGAAGCGAAGGAGTAAACGAGGCGCGTGTTCGAAAGCGCAGACCGAATTACTACGTGCGGAGCTTACCGACAGCTTGCAAATTCAGCGTCGTACGTTCAGCGCCATCGAAGCGACGTCAGCGATGTCGCTTTCGGAGTCGATGTGGTGCGTTTGCAAGCGCGTCATTAACATTTTGCTGTGTTCCAAATCCCACGGGCGTTCATATAGAAAAGGCCTGAGGTTTCGTAGAGCGGTTACATTCGCGAGACAGAGAGAGAGAGAGAGAGAGGGGGGGGGAGATTATCATGAATTGAAATACATTTCGACGTACAGAGCTTATCGGGAGTCTGCAAACTCGCGCTTCCCTCGATTTCCGTTTCATCTCTTTCCACACGGAGCCCAGGAGTCGAGTCGCGCAGGACTCGAGTCAACGTAATCCCGATTACCGAACGATCGGCCACACCCCCAACCCACCCGACATGCTCCGGCGAGCCGGCCGGCCGATCGAGGCTCTCACGACAAGCTGGGCAAGAACTGAGAGAAACCCGCGATCTCTAAAATCTCGTAGTCGAGTCACGTCGGTCCGCGAGGAGTTTGCAAGCTTCCACCTCACGTTCTTTCTTTTTCTAGCTACGTCACTGGTGCCTCCTCGATTTTAAACGAGGAAAAAGTATCTACGCCTATACGGTGACGTTCGTCCAGAGGCATCGACACACTTTACTATTATATATAGAATCGGACGGCTATCGTAAGTTTTATGTTGTACAGCTTGGCGCCTAGTTCTATGTATCATAATGTTATTAAACCATAAGAAGTTGTTCCACATCTACACGCATCCATACACACATATACACGCACACACACGTACACATACACACATACATACGCAGACAACAACACCCTTGTGTATCCTCATCTCGACCCGCCCTTCCTTCCCACCGTTTTTCCCCTTCCTTCCTTCTTTCCTTCCTCCTCCCCCCTCCCTTCCTTTCTTCCTTAGACCCGTTTAAATTTCGAATACTTGTACATACATATACAACTATGAGAAAAGTCCTTTCACGAGGATACCTTCGACGAGGTCCTCACGAGGGCTAACGCCGCGGACGGCACGATCGTAAATAATTGATGAAACGAGCGATATCACGGGTCCTGATAGATCGGATTTTCGCGCGACAAGGCTCGTAAAGGCACATTCGTCGGTCTCATTTGTTTGGGCTCGAATCTCGTCGAAAGTACGGCGGCTGTCGGATGCGTTGTACGCCCTTTCGAGATACCCTGATCGAGCCGAATGGATCAATGACTGTGTGCTAATTAGACGATGTACTCACGCAGTCGCATTGCGCGACTAATCATCGATCGCACGCGATCCCGAGTATTCGCTCGTGACGTTTTCAGGTGGAATGGTGAAGGAGCAGGAGAGAACGAAGAGGAAGAATAACGTAGCGTGTCGTTCTCACAGCCGAATTATACGATGGCCGACTTTACCGTTCCACCAACGGTCGGAGCGAATGCTCAGAAACCTCGAGAACACAACGGGACTCGTGCGAGTGTCTCGAAGATATCTGCGGCGGTGTTGACATTTTTACGATCTTTCACATGTATTTCGGAAGTCGAGATATTTCGCGAAGATTTCGAAAATTATTGTCCTGCGATTTGATGCCGGGCGCGCGATCTTACTCGCGCGTTGTTGTTAGGAATTGTAGACACGAGAGAAAAGAATCGCTCACACCTTTCCGTCAGAGCAAAGTTCAAGAGTGCAAGAGTGAGAAAGAGAGAGAGAGAGAGAGAGAGAGAGAGAGAGAGAGCTGTCACCACGTCGTTATCACCTACAACACTTCTTCGGCCTGTGCCTCACCCTTTCGTCAGTATTTATCCCATCGGTCACTCGATCAAATCGCAGATAATTTTCGAGAACGCGCCGATCTGATTTCTAGTCGTTGTCTGATAAAGAAGAAAAAACAAAAAAAAAGAACACACGTAACTCGCGAGTTCGTAAAGATCGTTAATTAGGAGAGCGAGAGGCGCGCTCGGACAAAGAAGTGTCGCACGTCGCCATGTGTACGCTGCACGCCCAGCAGCCCTTAAATGCCGACAATCAAGGCTAGTGCAACTAATCAAACGATAATAAATAGAAAACGGAGAGAAGAGAAACTACTTAATAATTTTAATGAATATACTCGTGAACGATCGCTGTGGTTCGTGTGTAATTATAGGCCGCGAGACGCGCGAGGCCGACCGAGTGCCGCCGAGCTGTCGGCGGGACCCGGAGGAGGAGGAGGAGGCTTCGCGAGGACGATTCTTCGCGCGAATAAAAATAGGCGCGAAGGGTCGTCATAGGTCGAGACGATGTGCCCGCTGTTGACCGTAGAAAGTACAAAGATGTCACGCGTAATGGAGGGAACGGAGCCTCGGGAAAATTTTGCGTTACAACTTCCGCGCGACAACAACCACGAACAGAGAACAGACCTCGATCCTCGGCTCGAAGACGCGCCCCGTCGTCCGCCCCCCTCGCTGTCTTTTTAACATTCAGTAAATATTACCCTCGTAAGGAAGCTTCTGAAATCAACGCGAAAGATTGCACGTGCAATCTGCGCAACACCGACGAGGCCCCTCCATTACGCGACAAATGAATGGTCGTTTGTAGTGAAAAACAAAAAGTTCGTCGTCAACAATATCGCTTCCATTTATCCCCGAGTAAGTTATAACGCGAGCGATCGAAAAGCGATTCTTTCGATCGAAAGAGCGAGAGAGGAAGAGTGACCGAGACCGGTTGATTGAATGAGAATCGAAAGAACGAACGAACCGCTGGGCACTGTGAGAAGGAGAAGGAAATTAGGAGGAGGGGTTCAGAGAGAGAGAGAGAGAGAGAGAGAGAGAGAGAGAGGGGTAAAGAGAGCGGTAGAGCGAGTGAGAGAGAGAGAGAGTGTGTGTGTGCATATGTAAATCTCACAATCAATTATTAAATATAATAACGGCAGAAAGTGTGAGACAGGCAAATTAAACGTAAGCATAGGGCGTCGGAAAAATAAAAAAAGAAAAAAAAGACGATTGTCACGAAGGCAGGCACGCGAACAAGCATGCGCGAGTTATGAAATTAATCGCAACAGAGAAACCTTGGTAGCAGCGCATAAGGGTATCTATAGCTTTTGGTAACGTATTATATCGCCGCTAGGCTAAAGAGAAAAAAACACATAAAAGAGACACAAAAAGAGATACACTCATATGGACATACATGAAGAAACACAATACAGCGCAAAACACACACGCGTACACATATACACACACGCGTACGAGCACGCACATCTAGACACACGAATACATATGAAAAGAAACCGACAACTCACACGCGGAACGCAATGTCAGATTTGGGCCCGTGCGAACGCACGCACGCACGCACGCAAGCACGCACGAACGAACGAACGAACGAACGAACGAACGAACGATAGCTTCACGAATGAATTGGGTGCACTCGTCGCATAAATCGATCGCGAAAGACAGTCGTATCAATGAGAGAATACAATTGAGGCAAAAGAAAAAAGAAGAAAAAAAAAAACAGGAAGAACCGGATCGTATTCGTTACGATTATTCGCGACGCGCAGAGAAATAGTAAGAGTAAGAGAAGCGTCTCCTCGGATCTGATCGACGTTTTTCCACTTGAGTTTCGAACACTTTTTAAATCCTCGAACCTGTGCGAAAACAAAGTTGGAAGATGACGCGTAGGGAATATCGGTCCCTTGATCGTTTGACGATCGAGATCCCTGTTAGCGACCAAAAGAGAGTGAGAAAGAAAAGAAAGGAGAAAACAAATCGACTTTTCGGCGACGAGTGATCGCTTTTGTTCCAACGATTTGTAGCTCTGTGCTTGCTCAGCGCCGTGTCCGGCTGTCTCGAAAGATTGTTTTTTATATCTATTTCATCGAAACGCGCGACACGCGTTCCATGAGAGAGCCACGGACGTCGTTCGGACCGCTCGATCGATTCTCGCCTTCGATACGTAGCGCGGAACGGGCACGAAAGTTATTTCTACTTCGATTTTTGGCGATATTCGCACGGACCTGCACAGGAAGTATCCACGAAATCGGCCGGTCAACTGCTCGTACGACGCTGATGATGAAAGGAAAGAAATACGATAATAAAAAGAGAAAAAACAAAAGCGAGCGATCTCTTTCGCGCGGTTGACAGATAGGAGGAAAAAAAAATTGTCGAGGTTGCACGACGCGATCTCGGAGAGATACTACAAACGAAATTTATAACGTTTTGATATTTGACGTCTCTTCGTGATATCAGCTTATGCATTTATTAATCCAGTAGAATTCTATCAACATTTATTGAGCGAACCTTCGGATCTGATTTCTGTCGGTGAAGTTTGGCGGGGAATCGCGAGGATCACGTCCGACCGGAATTTCACGACACGACTATAGCTGACTTCTCGTTCATGGTCGATAGTCATACGTCGCCGATTTCGCGGATATCGTCCGAGTTATCTTCCACGTAACACCCACGAGATAATCATGTTATTAAGACTCTGCGTTTTTTAATATCAGCGAGGCTCGGCCCGGGCATCGGGCGGACAAAGTGTTTTCAATAAACTGTTACATTACCTGAAGCATTCTTAATTCTTCCTGAACACGCGTGCGCGTCTGACAGGCCGCCGCCTGGCCCGGCGCGACAGCTCGTCGAAATCGGGAGATCGAATCGTGGGGACCCCGCGAGTGGGTCATGGTCTCTCATCGAGGAAGAAGGAAGAGACGCCTGAAGCGACGACGGAGATCGCACAAGCGTGCAAGGAACAGTCGTGCGAGAAATCGGTAAACCACCTCACTGATAATCAGACGCGTGTTGCTTGAAGGGTCGCGCGAAATCCATGTTCAAGGCTGCACGAGCACCCGTACAGGACGCGCTCGAAGACGCTTCGTGAGGTGGAAAGGACGACAGATCGAACGGAATCTCACGTTCCATCGAGACGCAGCACGTCCGACAGCAGCGTCGTGTATCTCGGCTCGTTTCGCAAAAGTCCGCAGCTCATCACGCTGGAGGACGAGAGCTGCTCCGAGATCTCCGAGAGAGTCGTTCAGCCGAGAACATGGACCAGCGTGAAGAGCGAAAGTGTAACGTCGTTCCCCAAATGTCGACGATACGTCGACTTAGAGGCGGATCCTGAGGACGTCTGAGAAGCAAGTAGGACATCTTCCAGACGTCTCTGAGACGATCTTTCAGACACCTCAAGCTGTTTAATTTAATTGTATCGTTCGTATCGATTAGAAAATCTCCTCCAACGCCCCGTCTTCCCGTTGCGTTAGAACGTGAAACGTAAAACATAACGCGATGATAAATAATTTCGTGGAACTGATTGGACAGAATTGAGAATACCTCTTGAGAACAAAAAGCACGCAACTATCGAAGAATTCCGTGTTTCTCAGATGTAATCCAGGCCGTCAATTTTGTAAGGCAAGTACGTCGCCGTGAGAAAATTCGTCGAGAGCGTCGAGACCGCCTCTATTTCCGCCTTGCCCTTCCGCAACACACTCAGCTGCTTCGATATAGCCTCGTTCACGTAAGCCCGGGCCTCGATGGACCTCAATTTCGCGAGGTCGGCCTCGCTGAGCGGGACTGTCTTCGCTCCTAAAGCGATCAATTCCGTGGGAAAGATCCCGAGCCAGCGCGCATTAGGACACGTCAGGTTCTCGTTCTCCCTGCAGAGCGCCATGGAACCGAAGCTGCGGAAAACACATTGCCGATCACACTCAGAGGCCTCGGCTGCCTCTCGGTGGACGAAGTCCACCGCCGAGTGAGAAGTAAAAACGTCGCAATTTTCGGCTGGCATTTCGCATTTTTTTTTTTTTCTTTAATTTCTTTTCCGTGGCGGCGACTTTGTGTGTGGTGACGGCGAATTACCGATAGATCAACACGATGTCCACGCCGAAGGGATCCGCGTCCGCGACTATGTAGACCGGCAGGTCCATCTTGTCGGACAATAGCTTCAGCAACATCCTCGTGGCGGTGTCCGGGTAACCCTTGCCCGTCAGCAGAATGCAGTTGAGCGCGCGGGGGCAGTTCTCCTCGAGCAGCTTTTGAAAAGTCGCGTCCTTCTCGACTACCAACACGAACTTGGCTTTCGCGCGGATGGAAGCCACATTCGAGGCGATCTGCGGGATCAGCGCGCCCCCCGGGATCGTGCAGTCGATAACGTGACCGTCGGTCAGCGTGATGCTCATATTGCCCGCCGCTAACCCCTTGGCCGTCGCCAGCAATCCTGAAAAGACCCGCGCTTAGCGGCTTGCGTATCTTGCGTATCCGTCGTCGTCGTCTTTTAATCTAGTTTCGCTCCGCACGTATTTGGTGTCTTCCCTAATGAGGCGCAACTTGAACTTACTCAGGTCCCACGGCGCGCACTCCAACAAGTTCGCGACGTCGTTCAACGCGCGGTCGACGTATCGCTGGTTGGGCGCCAAGCTCTCGGTCATTTGGCTCTTCAGGTCGTAGTAGAACGATCGCCTGGTCCTGGTCGCGTTCGTCAGCAGCAAGCGATGCACCTCGGCCATCAGCATCGTCATCAGGACGAACTTGTCTCTGCTGCGCCTCGCCGCGAAATCGACGCTCGTTCTCCCTGAATTCTCGTCGGCCTGTCGCGCGTCCCGCTCTTCGACTGGAGATTCGTCGAGGTACTCCATGTCCTGCTGAGAATCGACCGAGCGTCCTGGCTGGGCAGTCTCCTGTGACTCCTCCGCGTTTCGCCCGCCGACGTACGATATGCGCGGCGACCGCCCGGCGGATATCTGCTCTATTATCTTCAGGGTGACGGCTTCGATGCGCGCGATTAAGGTCTTCCTACGCGTCGTGCGCGACGAATTTTGATTATATAGCGCGCGAAATTTCGCGCGTTCGAGCTTCCCGCGAGCAGGAAGACGAACACGGTGAGACAAGCAAGGGGAGAAAGTTTCACCTGGACGTTTTACCTGAATACTTCATTGTCGACCATCGGTATGTCGATGCGCTTCTCCCGGGCGCCCAAATACTTGTCGCTGATGGGCGCGAACGACCGCCGACGAGATTTTCGATCTGCCTTCAGCATTTTGCTTCGCTACGTGGGAAAAGAATGCGGTGCTTGCGTGAGAAATTGAGCCGGATCAGCGTGACGTTAACGTCTCTCTTCATCATTCGTGTATTACTCGTTCCGCACCGGACACACGTTTGCTCAACGAGGAACCAAAAACGAGAATAAAAAAGGAGGAGACGACGACGCAAAAGGACGTCAGGGATAATCGTTCCAAATTGTTACTCCTCGCGTGCAATAAACGTGTAGCGGTATTTGAGACGTTCACAGCTCAAGTTTAGTTTGCCTCTCGCTCGGCAGATGACTTCAGCGTGCGCAATGCGGACTCTCGAGCAGAGATCGTTCCTACCGGTAGAACCAATCGATTTTTTTTTCTCCAGAATAAAACCGCTTTTTCAGCACCCTGTTTTATGGAGCTTTTTGTCGCACGTATATCCACAACTCGGTTAACGGCTTCGCATAAAAATGTGCACAGAGAATCTATCCGTTCTGCACGAACGTACCTTTCGAACACTGTTAAATTTTCGACGGTTTAAGATCGTAAAGGAGGTTTCGTGTCACAAAGGATTTACGAGGTCCCTTCGTCGTAAAACGACGATAAATACGTGGGAAAAGCAAATTGGCTCGATCGAAAGTGTTCTTTGCGAGAGACAGTGGCGGACATCGACGGCGTACCAATCTCGTTGTAAATTTATCCGCAAAAATGCCGCCGTAATGCAGTTAATCGCGAACACGCGCGGATACGATAATGTTTCGCCGAACGTAAACGATAAAACGCGCGTTTGCCAATTTATATTATTATATACCCGCGAATTAATGCGCGGGTCAGCATCACAAAGAAATCACTCAATTATTTAATTAATTCCGCCGATAAGGAACGCATCGATCGCCGGACAATCGCTTTTTACCTCGCCCGCTTTCGTTCGCAAATTCATGCTCGTACAAAGCTCGTACGAAAAGATATCACTCCGACTCTGAAAATATCGCGCGATTTATGCGCCGGTGTCGCGTGAAAAATCACGGCACTGAAAGAACCGTCATTAGAACGACTGTGGGGAGAGGAGAGGAGAAAGAAAGAGAGAGAGAGAGAGAGAGAGAGAGAGAGAGAGAGAGAGAGAGAGAGGGAGAGGGAAAGAGAGGAGCACAGAGAGCGAAGGATCGCTTTTCAATCGCCGTCGAATGTTACGAGACGAGTTAAAGAGCGACGCGAGCAGATAAAAATCTCTAGCGGCCTCTATACGAGGCCGACATTCTCACAGCAATAAACATATTAAATCCAGGCGCGGTGGGCCAAAGTATTGACCGCTGCGGCCCGGCCCGGGCCCCGTGCTGGGGTAGACATTAATTTTTCCCCCGATCGCACCGGCGTTCGTATCGAAGTGGCGAATCTCGAGAGAGAGAGAGAGAGAGAGAGCCGGACACCCCGCTGAGCATTTGTGAGCACCGACCATTGAACGGCGCGCTACTGTACGCGCTAAAGACACTTCAGGGACTTATTGTGAGCGCGAAACACACCCCTCGCTGCAAAACGCCCGATTGTAACGAAATTCGGCTGCGTACTCGCCGCAGCTTTCGCCAGGAAGCCGCCGCCGGGAAAACAGACGCGGCCAATTAGCCGCTTCTCGGTCACGAGATTTCGCGCTGCTTCCGGAATCATATTCGGGATTGTACAAAGTTGCTCGCATATCCGTGTTTGGAAATTTGGAAAGGCGGAGGAGAGAACGTCCCCGGAGGAGAATTTACGGAAATTTCGTCAACTTTTCTACAATAAATGTCGCTACATGTGTAGTCGCAAACACAATATAAGCGCGACACTCAAACATTACGGCTGACTATTTCTGTGTAAGAAACTTGTGTTATAACACGGCGGGCACGCGGAAATGACGTGTATTGAGTAGAATCCCATGCCGCACAAATTTCCCCATAATGATCCGCCGTAAGCGCCGGTACACAAACGTTTTTGCAAACGAGCAATATGCACCGCGGAAGAAGAGAGGGCCGGAGGGGGACAATGAATGCTAACGAGCGGCTATGGGGATGACTGCTGACGTGTGCCAAAATATTTCATCGGCGCAACGAATAATCTGACGCGCGCTAGTCCACTCGGGAACGTTTGCGACAATCTTGCAAACATTATCCCAGAGAGAGTGGCAGGGAGGGAGGGAGGGAGGGAGGGAGAAAAATGGATCAAGGAACAACGGTAAACTCGTACGCTCGTATTCACGAGATCAAACCACTGCCTCGAAGAGAGAGAGAGAGAGAGAGAGAGAGAGAGAGAGAGAGAGAGAGAGAGAGAGGCGGGGGGAGGCGAGAGAAAGAGGGAGAGCTTCGGCCTCTTAGATACTCATAACTATTCACATGAAAAAGTAATGCCGGGGGAGGGCGGGAGGCGGCCGAGCGTCGTGACGCTTGCGCGTTCGGTTTTGCATTAAAGACACTCCAAGGCTGCGCTGCGTTACAAAGGGGGATAGTGTTACATTGTATGCAACGAGCACACGGCGGAGAGAAACACCCCTGAGAATGCCCTCGGCAGCCCTCAAATAGCCCGTATATAATACGCGTCGGCGCGTCGGCGCGTCCTCAAAATGTCGGTTGGAGACGCGGCGAGGACGGCGAAGGATCGCGTAATCCTTCACGAAATCTCACGCGAGCTCCACACGACGAGTGTCTCTCGTCGAGGAGCTCGCGCGCAACGTAAGCCACTGCGCGAAGCGCGATGTAACCAGACGCCCGTCTTTTCATGCACCTTCGTACCGCGTACCGCGTCCCTGCATGCACGACCTGCCGAATCTTTTGACTTCCGGCTCTAGCATCGCGGCGCTAGCGGGAAACATACATGATTTCGGGATCGCGAGGTCGACAATTGGCCCGGGACTTCCTTGGCGCGCGTTAATCTTCTCGTTCCCAAATACCGCCCCCTCGACTTACCAAACCCGGCCGAGGCTGAACGCTCGCGGTTGGAAGGTCGATGGAGCGTGACGAGGAGAAATACCTGTCGCACGTCGACCAGCTAGCTTCCTCCCGGAGGTCAGGGATTTTCGAAATCTGACGCGTCAGGTATATTCCACAATCGAGCAAGACGTAAATAGCCCGAGTCCAATGGTGGAATCGAGCATGTTCGGGTCGCCCAGAGTCTATTCAGGAAATCGTAACAGTCGAGTTTCTCGATCAACCGACGCCGAGAGATCGGATCTGGCGGTCGTTCCTTTATTCGCGTCTTCGTCCGCCTTCGAGGCGATTCTCCGAGATAACATCGAATTTGTCCAAACAGCGGGAATCGCGGCTGCGCAGCCCCGTAGGGGTTGGCTAACGTACGAACTCGGAATAAAGAAGGTCAGGAGGGTGACTCGTAGTCAAAGCCAACCTCTTTCGATATCTGCCGCCGTTTTGCGCTAATTGTACAGCGAGGAGAGAACGTGTACTTTTTGTCTTTTTCTTCTTTTTCTCCTTTTTCATCTCGCTTCTTCGTTCGTGTCATTATCGAGCACTCGCCGGGCGTCGAAGGACTTAACTTTCGAGCCGGCGACTTTCCCGATTCTCCCAACGAGAGCGCGAACGTTCGATCGCGCGGAGTGCACTTATCGAGCGCTACTCGAACGCGATGCGGTTTTCGAGGGATCGAACGACGTTATTGTAGCGACCGCCGTGTTCGCACACTATAAAGAGGGTTTGACGTGCGGTACTTGACTTAAGCGCTAGCTTGGGAAAGCCTCTTCACAAAACGACTGTCCCCGCCGAATCGGGGACATTCGTTTCCACGTCAATCCCCCAAATAGTGTCAAATTTGAAGGATCAATGGAAAAAATCTACAGATACAACACGTAAGTAAAGGCTACTGTTCAGCCTCGATACGACTAAACGTCGACGCTTGAGCTCCGTGTTGAGCATTTGCATTTGGGAATTTTTTGTAACGCGCGAGCGACTCGATATTCTAGGTCTGCATTGAAATTCGGCGGGATTCGCGGGATTAACGTAGAACTCTCGGCTCGACTCGTCGTCGATGCGACAGCGTCCGTCGAGACGTTCGGAGACGTTCGGAGACATGACCTTGCAACGTGAAAATTCTCTTTGTACGAGCAAGACTAAAGAGTTGCTCCGATTTATTTGCATCGCGTTATCCGTGAGCCGAGCAACATGCGACGCTCGGCTGAGATTGCGTTTCTCAGCGAGAACACGAATCAATTAAAATCCCCGTGGAGAATGCGCGTCGATTTCAAGGCGATCGATCGATCGATCGAAGAAAATCCGGCCTCGTGCGCGAGCGTAACATGGCAATTTGATACGTCTTCACCGCGTAATCACTTAACGAGCACTCACGTTTCCCTCAAATTCAGCATTCCTTTAATAACAGGCCAAGGCTCAGGGCTGAATAAGATCTTCGCGTCTACTCGACGCGACGCTTTATTACACGTCAAACGTTTTTTCGCGGTTACACCGAGGAGGAAAAGAAAACGCCGTGCGTGGCGTCTCAAGGATAGCCGACGCATGAGAAAATGACGAGTGGCAAGGGACGAGTTCAGGAAGGGACAGAGGCGGAGACGCGCGCGGGAAGGACAAAAGGGGAGACACATCGAAGCGAGCGAAGGGGATAAATCAGAATCGAAAACGACAGGACACTGTCTCGCGCGCGCGACGCGACGCGACGCGACGCGACGCGACGCGACGCGACGAAGGAAGGGGCGGAAAGCGGAGAGGCGAAAGTCCAACTCGCGGAGGAGTGCAGTCGCACCGCGAGGAGTTCGACGACTCGTCGCGGCGCGGCGGAGACGACGGTGAATGACGCGGCCGCGGGCGAGTGAGAAGCTGCAAAAACTGTCGCGATCTTCTTTCAGCCGAGATATTTACGCGTGCCGTGGCGGCCGGGCGTGCTAAGTGTAGGTCAGTTCTGCCAGAGGAACTGGTTCGCACGACCGGCCGCTGCGAGTCGGCCGCCAATTAAGAGAAAATGAGAGGCTTGTTGTTTCACGCTACTCTAGAAAGTCGTCCATCTCGTTTTATCGAACGCGCAAGGCGGTCCC